TGGCCGGCAGGGCATTTAGCAAACATGAGGGCTGAAGTCTAGGTCAGGGGCTCTGTGTCAGGGGCGGGGCCGAGAAATGGCTTGTTTTCTGGACTTGCCCTGCTTCTCCTCCTGCATATCCCCTCTCACCCGTATTCTATTCCTCTCTGGTTGTGGCCCGTTATTATTATGGATTTAGTTGTTATTATTATCTTTTATAAAGCTATTTATTTATTTTGAGAGACAGCTGAGAGCATGAGCAGGAGGGCAGAGAGACAGGAAAAGCCCCAAGCAGGCTCCGCACTGTCAATTTGAGGCCCGGCGTGGGGTTGAACTCAGGGTCGAGGAGATCACATGACCTGAGCTGAAATCAAGAGTTGGGCAGCCTTGACTCAGCCACCCAGGCACCCCTGGTTTTGTTTTATATTTATCTTGTTTTGGGGTTTGCTCGCTTCTTGAGTCTAGCCAGATTGATGCTTTCATCCCAGTTTTGGAAAGCGATTGGTCAACATCTTCATTTTATTGATTCTGCCCTTCCCTTCCTCGTCGATGCCAGTGGTATGTTAGAGCATTTGACTAGGTCCATATGTCTCTTAGAGGTTAGGAATTTTCACTCTGCATTTTGCTTGTGGGTGGGACTACAGTTGGTCTGTATGTGTTGACCTCACCCCAGGCATGAGGGAGTGTGGGTGTCCCGGCTGGTCCTGGTCACAAGAGGTGACTGGGACACTTCACTCCAGTGGGACCTTGTTGAGAAGGGTTGTTGCTAGATGTCCCTTGTTTGGTTGAGGAAGTTGCGTCTTGGCTTACTAAGAATTAAAAAAAAAATTTTTTTAACGTTTATTTATTTTAAGACAGAGACAGAGCTGAGTGAGGGGAGGGCCAGAGAGAGAGGAGAACACAGAATCTGAAACAGGCTCCAGAGGCTCAAGCGGTCCAGCTGGGAAACCCGGCCAGCTCGAACTCATGAACGTGAGATCATGACCTGAGCAGTTGGACACTAACAGAGCCAGCCTGAGCCACCCAGAAGCGCTAATTTGATGTTGTGTTGCAGAGAGAGCCCAGAGTGTGAGTGGGGCAGAGAGAGGGAGACACAGAAATCCCAGAAGCAGGCTCAGGATCTGAGCTGTCAGCATGAGAGCCCAAAGCGAGGACTTGAACTGCGTGAACTGTGAGATCATGAGCCTGAACCAGAAGTCCAGGGCTCAACCCATTGAGCCACTCAAGCGCCCCATTTATTTTGGGGAGACAGAGAGAGAGAGAGAGGGAGAGAAAGGGAGGGTGGGGGAGGAGCAGAGACAGAGAGAGGGAGACACAGAATCTGGGCAAGGCTCGAGGGCTCGAGCTATCAGCATAGAGCCCGACCGCAGGGGCTCGGAGCTCACAGACTCTTGAGATCTTGACCTGGGCAAGTCAGACCTTAACTGACTGAGCCACCCAGGACCTCTTTCTTTAAGAAGGCTCCGTGCCTAAGCGTCAGGAGGCTTGAACTCATGACCCTGAGATCAAGAGTGCTCTCCTGACTAGCCAGCCAGGCACCCCTAAAATGACTTTTCTGAAAATGAGTTAATTATTTGGCTTTTCTCAAGCAGCTCTTTTCAGGACGTTGCCCATTAGCACAAGTATGTCATTAAAAACGATCACTTGATTTCTTGTTATTACAAAATTTCTACTTTGCTTTGAAGTGGCGATTAGTGTGTAATGTGTCAGTGTGTTGTTACCACTAACGAGAGAAACGGTCATTATGAACCACCCAGCGTGCAACTGCGACATGTTTCTAAAGCGTGCCCCTGATGGTACCTTAGGCCCTCTGTATGGCACAGGGGGCGGCTGCACTGCAGCGGTTTCATTACGGGTTATGGGCGGCTCTGCAGTCTGGATAAGCAGTCGGACGCTGACCCTCTCCCACCCCCTGGGGGGGAGGCCTGGCCCGGCTGTGTGGGATCGAGGCGGTACGACCCTCTCTTGACAGCAGCCAGTGCAGGCTCAGTGGAGCACCCTGCGATGTCAGAAATTAGCTTGTGGTGGGCAGCTGGTGGCAGCTCTCAGGGCAAGCTGGGCCTGTCTGCGTGAAGTGATGTCGTTGCTGTGGCTGGGCCCAGGGGTGAGGATTTGGGGGAACGCGGCCAGGCAGGGACCCCGAGGAATTGCCGCGGAGAGAGCTGCCATCCAGCCTCTGACCCTGAGCACTGCTAGCATCGGGAGTGGCCCGGGCTGTTGGAAGCCAGGGTTGGGGACTCAGGCTATGAGCGAGTTTGTGCACATTGGATTTGGGGTGTGCCTGGCTGTGGCTCTCCTGTCTGGAAGCATGGTCCCCCCACGTGAGGGGTTGGGGCAGGGCTGGCTGCGGTTGTCTCCCTCCTGGTCCCACCATGAAAAGGAGTAGGACTTCATAGATGTCTGGCTGCAACAGTGTGGTTTTCACTGCCCACCCTCCTCTTCCCTCTCCCGAAGCCAACCAAGAATGACGAACTGGTGAGTCTTGTGGGGGGAGGCTGCTTGTGACCCTGGGGCGTGGGGGTCGCGGGCCCAGAGCTGTACCCACCCTCTCCCAGAGGGAAAGAGCCCACGGGAGCACGGGAAAAGCTGGAGCTAGTGGCTTTCGCTTCTCCTTCTTCCGACGCGTCATGTCTATGGCCAGCGTGCAGCTGGCGGGTATATGAGGATGCCCTGCTCCTGAGCTTTGCGGGATGCCAGGTGAGTGATGGCCTTGGAGGGTGGGAGTGGGTGTGTGGGGCCTGTGGGGGGGGATTGGGGGAGGGAGTCTGGGGCCATAACCTGACCTGCCTCCAGCTGTCGGTGGTGGAGCTATGGCCCCAGGCACCCATGATCTGAAGACCCTGTCTACACTGCTTTGAGGAGCCTGAGCTACGGGTAGGTCAGGTGCCCCCAACCACCCTGCCCCCTCCTCCGCCCAGCCGTTGCCCCTGCTCCCCTCCTATCCCCAGGCTGGCCCTAAACGCCTCTGCCCCCCCAGGATGGGATTGCAAGTGCATGCGCCCGGCAGTGCTGAGGTGAACCCGACGGGCAGCTTCTTGGCAGCCATGCTCATCCTGACACCGCCTGGGTGGTCCTGCCCTTCACTTGAGGAGGAGAGCCTGGCCGAGGAGCGAGGGCTCATGGGGGGGGGGTGAGTACTGGGGGGGCAGGGGGGAGGGGCTCAGTCCAGCGGGCTCCCTGCTTCCTCCGCCCCACTAAAGCCTGTCGCCCCCCCAGGTGAGGTCAGCTTCTGCCCAGCTACATCATCGTGTCTTGCTGACGGACAGCTTCTCAACATCGTAGACCTGCAGTTCCTGCCGCGGCTATTCACAATTACCCTGCTCATCCTGTTCGAGCCCAACCAGACCTGGCCTGGGTGAGGCCCCTCTGCTGTGGCTGCAGCTGCCAAGGCCTGGGGTGGGTCTCATTTACTGGGACTAGGACACCCGCCATGGGTGCTGTGATTGGCCCCCTGGCTGACCTACTTCTTTGTCCCCAGGCGGGTGGCTGTGCGGCAGGACCGTGCTCCGTGTGTGCATTTCACTGAACATCTGCATGAGGTCCACCCCTGTCTCATCTGGTCTCTCACCAGCCTCCCCTTCGACTGCACGCAGGCCCTCGCTGTGCCCAAGCCCATCGGTGAGCCCCTATGGGGCTGGGCGGGAGGGGGGGGGGGGGGGGCTGAGCCCATGGGGGAGGGCGCTGAGCCCCGCCCACCAGCATGTCCATTTCCAGGTGGGGTGGTGGTCTTTGCTGTCAACTCGTTGCTGTACCTGAACCAGAGCGTCCCCCCGTACGGCGTGGCTCTCAACGGCCTCACCACCGGCACCACCGCCTTTCCCCTCCGTGAGTGTGGGCTGGGGCAGGACCGCAGGGCAGGGAGGGCAGGAGGGCTGCGGAGTCTGTCTAACCGCACCCTGCACAGGCACCCAGGAGGGCGTGCGGATCACCCTCGACTGTGCCCAGGCAGCCTTCATTTCCTACGACAAGATGGTCATCTCCCTCAAGGGTGGTGAGATGTGAGTCTCCCTCCCTTTGGTGAGCCCCGTGCCCTCCGCCCTGCCCACACCCTCCCTTCGGTGAGCCCCGTGCCCCCCCTCCGAGCCCTGCCCCCAGCTCAGTGCTCCCCGTCCTGGCAGTTACGTGCTGACCCTCATCACGGACGGCATGCGCAGTGTCCGCGCCTTCCACTTCGACAAGGCGGCCGCCAGTGTCCTTACCACCAGCGTGAGTTGGGACTGGGTGGGTGGGAGGTGGCCCTGGGTCTGGGCCTGGTTTCACCCTGACCGCCCACTGGTCTTCAGATGGTCACCATGGAGCCTGGGTACCTGTTCCTCGGCTCTCGCCTGGGCAACTCGCTCCTCCTCAAGTACACAGAGAAGCTACAGGAACCTCCGGCCAGCGCCGTCCGAGAGGCTGCTGACAAGGTGGGTGCCCGGGGCCTGTCAGGATGCTGGCCTCTTGTGCAGGGCCAGCCTCAGAGGGCTGCTCACTGTCCCCTCCTGCCTTGCAGGAAGAGCCTCCCTCGAAGAAGAAGCGAGTGGACTCCACGGTGGGCTGGTCAGGTGAGGACAGGCCTGCACGGGACAGGGAGGGGCTGGTGGGGTTAGGCCTGGCGGCCAGGCATCCGGGCCTCCTGGCCCGACGGGGTCTCTTGTCTGCTGCAGGGGGCAAGTCGGTGCCTCAGGACGAGGTGGATGAGATTGAAGTATACGGCAGCGAGGCCCAGTCGGGCACACAGCTGGCCACTTACTCTTTTGAGGTGAGGTTGGGCACAGGGAGGGGCCTCCCACGCCAGCCGGCCTGCCTGCCTGAGCACTGCTGTGTCTGCAGGTATGTGACAGCATCCTCAACATCGGACCCTGTGCCAACGCTGCCATGGGCGAGCCTGCTTTCCTCTCTGAAGAGGTGCTTTTGGGTGAAGAGATGGGGGGCAAGGGGCTCACGCAGCAGTGGAGCCCTGTCCTCACTCTGAGCTGCTGTGCAGTTCCAGAACAGTCCCGAGCCAGACTTGGAGATCGTGGTGTGCTCCGGCTATGGGAAGAATGGGGCCCTGTCGGTCCTACAGGTATGTGGGGGCAGGCGGTGTGGTGCCTCCTGGCGGGACCTGGGTGAACTGACGCCCCCCGCCCCCCATTCGTCCTTCTAGAAGAGCATCCGGCCCCAGGTGGTGACAACGTTTGAGCTTCCTGGCTGCTATGACATGTGGACAGTCATCGCCCCTGTGCGCAAGGAGCAAGTAGGTGTATCCTGGGCTGGTGAGGAGGCCCTGAGTGGGGCAGGTGACCCGTTGCCGCGTCCGCATGGACTCAGCCTGAGCGTGCGGGTGGCTTGGAGGCAGTGGGGCCCAGGACAGGGCTGGCCGTGACATTGCAGGCAGGCCTGGGTGCACACTTGCTCTGGTTTGGCTGGGGGTCTGCCCTCCCCCCACCCTCTTCCCAGGCACCCCTGGTTGGGTGGTGTGATTCCTGCTCTCCTTCTGCTGTCACAGGAGGAGACTTCTAAGGGGGAGGGCGCAGAGCAGGAGCCTAGCACTCTTGAGGCGGAAGACGATGGACGAAGACACGGGTTCCTTATCCTGAGCCGGGAAGACTCCACCATGGTAAGGGGTGGGGGTCCCGCAGCCTGGGGCGGGGTCCCACGGTGAGCGTGCGCCTCACTCTCCCATTACCTGCAGATCCTGCAGACAGGGCAGGAGATCATGGAGCTGGACACTAGTGGCTTTGCTACGCAGGGCCCCACGGTCTTTGCTGGCAACATTGGGGACAATCGCTACATCGTGCAGGTGTCGCCGCTCGGCATCCGCCTGTTGGAAGGAGGTGGGCTCGGGCAGGTGGGCAGGTGGGCAAGGGTGGGCGGTGCTGACCACCCGGTGCTGACCGTCCTGTGCCCACAGTGAACCAGCTGCACTTCATCCCCGTGGACTTGGGCTCCCCCATCGTGCAGTGTGCCGTGGCTGACCCTTACGTGGTCATCATGAGTGCCGAGGGCCACGTCACCATGTTCCTGCTCAAGAGCGACTCATATGGGGGTCGTCACCACCGCTTGGCGCTGCACAAGCCCCCGCTGCACCATGTGAGCCACCCTCCCCTCGCCATGCCCACAGCCTGCTGACTCCCCTTCCCCCGGAGCTGAGCCCCGCCCCTCTCCCTGCAGCAGTCCAAGGTGATCACGCTCTGCGTGTACCGTGACGTCAGCGGCATGTTCACCACTGAGAGCCGCCTGGGCGGGGCCCGTGATGACCTGGGGGGCCGCAGTGGCTCGGAGGCGGAGGGCCAGGGCTCCGAAACCAGGTATTCTGGGTGGCCGGGGCACGGGCTGGGGCCAGGTTCCCTGTGGCAGGCCACGCGTGACCTGTCTTCCGGCCCCGGCCTCCAGCCCCACGGTGGACGACGAGGAGGAGATGCTGTACGGGGACTCGGGCTCCCTCTTCAGCCCCAGCAAGGAGGAGGCCCGAAGGAGCAGCCAACCCCCCGCTGACCGGGACCCTACCCCATTCCGGGCCGAGCCCACTCACTGGTGCCTACTGGTGCGGGAAAACGGAACCCTGGAGGTGTGTGATGCCCTGCACCCCACGCAGCTCCCTGTCCCCTGCTCCCTGCGGCTGCTAATCCCACTCCCCACACAGATCTACCAGCTCCCTGACTGGCGGCTGGTGTTCCTGGTGAAGAACTTTCCCGTGGGGCAGCGGGTCCTGGTGGACAGCTCCTTTGGTCAGCCCACCACACAGGGTGAGGCCCGGAAGGAGGAGGCCACGCGCCAGGGGGAGCTGCCCCTTGTCAAGGAGGTGCTGTTGGTGGCGCTGGGGAGCCGCCAGAGCAGGCCCTACCTCCTGGTGAGTATGGGCCCTCTGTCCCCTCATGGTGGCTCTGCACTGCCCCCCTGCCCCTCCCCCTATGACCCTGCAGGGCGCCCCCCCCCTTTCCCGTGGTGACCCCACA